TTAATATTTTGAATGCCAATACCTAATATTGTGGTCTAAAAACACAGTTTTGGCCATTCTCTTCATGAATCGTCCAACCAAGGATTTCTATTCGGGGACCCTGACCGAGGCTCAAACCCAGCTATCAGCAGATTTCTGGAACCACTACTGAACATAAACCAAACCTACGTGTGAACATGTAGTATCATAAAGTTCAATACCTCGATCCGACCAACCTTGATCACGACCTCAAAAATATGAATTAAAAATTCGACCTTCTATGGACACTCATTGACCATATTCTTTGTCAACAGTTGTCATCATACGTACAAGCAATCTTCATACAGATTTTTATCTGATCTAAGCCAATACATGATCTAGTGGGTGTTTAAAAAGTAATATACTATAAGTATTTAAAAAGTAAAAAGTCTGGCTGCTTTAGCCCCAAGTTTACACATCACCGACCACACAAAGGACTCTCTACCACTGACTAACGTCATCAACACAGACAAGACAATCACAAGAAACTAATAGCCTGCGCTACTCTTGTTAGGTACTTGTATCCTTGCTCAGTTCGTACCAAGAATACCAAGAAAAAGTAGATTGCACTTACCTATCAAAAACAGTGTTATATTCTTGTATATCCTACAAACTGAAACCGTTGTACTTATATAAACTCAATATTACAGTATAGCAAAACATTACTGCCGACCACTTCCGGTAAATACGGGTAAAAACATCTTCATGAACTTTAGCATTGACATCCCAAAGCAAGTAGGCAGTACAAATCGTGACGTCAAACGATTAATCTTCTCTCAGGGTTTGAAAAGTGATTCAGGATTCAAAAAATACAATGTGAATACAAATAAACCGAACAAAAATCATAACAAAATGAAATATGTCCAGGAAAGTAAAAATACTTTCTAATGATTTGAACTTTTCAATTTAAAAATCAATAAGAGCATTTTAATCATAATTGTATAATAATAATAATAATAATAATAATAATATATATATATATATATATGTATAT